ATATATTAATATGATATGTGCTTAGCATATTTCGTTTAAAGGGATGAAGGACTGGTAGTTGAATTTTCTTATAATTATACCAGTGGTCATGACGTTTCAGTGAATTTTTCATAGCCTTGTTTTCCTAAAAGGTATTCTCATGGGCAGTGGTGGATTGCAGTTTAGACCTCGTCTAAATCTTATCAACACCCCTAGGGGGACTCGAACCATGATAGTGCAGCGTATAATCTCGAAACGTTAATTACCACGCCCTATTGCCAGGAGTGCTCTTGGGTCACAGGGCAGGTGTGAATTTCAAGGAAGGCCAGGCATTTTCCCATATCATATTCTGTGGTGGGATTGTTGATGAAGCAAATTTGTATTTACTCTAGCAATCGACAACTTTACTTATATTTCGTTTTGAGTAGGTTTTCGAGACACACAACTCATACATCTGATTTACTGGTAGTTTCGAAAACCATCTCAAAACGAAATATAAGCAATCTTTTTATTGCTATAGCAAATATTATTCTGCCTTATCAACAATCCTACCACATAATGTGATATGAGAAAATGCCTGGCCTTTCTTGAAGTTCACATCCGCTCTCTGACCAAAGGGCATTCTTAGCAATGTGGCATGGTGGATTACGCGTCGAGATTATACACCTTACTATCAGGGTTAAGTACCACTGGAGGTGTCGATAATATATAGATATTGCACTCCTACTTAGGTGAGGATACCTTTTGGGAAAGCAATGCTATGTGCTATTCAATGAAAATGTCATGTCTACTCATATTATTGTAGGAAAATTCAACTCCTAATCCCTCATCAGTCTGAACGAAATAGGGTGAGCATAGCTCATTTATATGATTTATTAGTAGTCTCAAAAAGCTACCTATATATATATATATATATATTCCTTTAGTATTCTAGCTTAACTTATACTTATTAGTTCCTTCATAACACCAATAACCTGAAGTCGCTTAGCCTCACTTTATTTTGTCTTTTTTCTTCATGCGAGTTTCTAGGCTCCTTTATGACATTCTACTCTGGCAGTCTTTGCTACCTCGCGACCGGCGCAATCGCTCGGCCCTAAGACGACCACCCTCCTTTTCATCGCCTCTTCTGACCCGCTGCGATCTCTTTGAACCAGAGGAGCTAGAGCAAGCAGGCCAATGCGATATAAAAGGTCTTAAAAGTCCTTTACTCTCTTCATCAGCTCCTGTGAGGCCTCCAGCTCCTCTTGCTCGGCATTCAGACCATCGGCACTGGTTCTTCAGCGATTTGGCTCCTTTGGCAAGCATCTATGCCCATCCAGATGCCACACGCCGAGCTCTTGAGTTGGACGCGGCTACCGCCTCGGCCTCAGCCTTAGCCAATGCTTATTGCTATAACCACCATAAGGCCGATCGATATGGTTACCAAAGATGCAGGCCACCAACAGGTTGGCCTCCCGGAGCTCCACCACTCTATGCCGGCCTTGAGGGCTTGCATAACTGGTACCAACGAGCAAACCGTATTCCATATCAGATGGATTACGCTCCTGCCTCTTGTAGCTTGGAGCGTTTAAGGCGCAGAGGCCAAGAATGTGAAGAATCGGGTCTACGCGACAATCCACGCGGGTGGAGACTTCACTTGAGGGGTAGTGGGCTTCACTTTCGACCAATGTATTACCAGGATAGCGACGGAGAAACTGTGGATGATGCTGATGATGAGGCTGATGAAGAAGCGGAAACAGAATTTGCCACGGCTATGACAGGTAGCAATGAAGCTGGAGAGGGGAGGTCATTGAGTGATTTGGAAACCGGTTCTACATTCAAATGGCCGCATTTGGATGAAGATTGTTACGATGAAGAGAAATACAGAGAAGAAGTCTTTGACCATGACTTCTCAAGTGATGAAGAAAGGATATCTGAATCGACACATTTCCGGTACTGGCCTACAGAGGCTAATGGTTAGTAGATATATCATCACAGCACCAGGCCATAATCATTCTCATTGGCTTATTCGATTTATATGTCCTGATATACTTTCATGATCAGGTCTGATTAAGAATCACACTTGATTATAATCTCGATCATCATTATAGTTATTTGTTAAAAGTATTATCAGAGTTTATCTAACCATTCTATATTAATCTTTGAAGTTCTAAACACTATGAATGTTCCGAATCTCACAACCATGACTCAATACTATAGACAGAATGAACAATGTTCGAAAGTATTAGCAGCTCTATAGGAAAAGGATAATCGCATTAATTATTATTCGTTTATAGGCAGGGTTTTTCAGACTACCAGATATAAATTTGCTTCATCTACACTCCCACTAAAGAATGTGATATAGGAAGATCCCTGGCCCTCCTTGAAATTCGCATCTGCCTTATGATCAAAGGTCACTCGTGGCAGTGTGGTGGATCGGCTAACGTGTCAAGCTCACACGCTGCATTGTCATGGTTCGACTCCCGTTGAAGGTGTTGATGGGACCGATGCTAGGTCGAAACTGCAGTCGACCTTTGATGAGAACAACTTTTTTTGAAAACAAGGCTATGGGAAATTCAATGAAAACGTCAGCTCTATTCATTTGTTATTTATTAGGTCTATGCGATAAAAGAATACGTATTTTTCAGAATCCAAGATAGTCTGTTTTTTTGTAAATGTATTCACTTTTCTATGTATAAATACAACTTTTTTAGGGGGGACCTGGGTGAACCTAAATATTCCCTGGTCTGTTTTCTGATATTAAGGTCTTTCTGCATCAGGGCCTTTAAGTAGTAGATTCTCACATGTTTTTCATGAATCGCAGTCACCAATCTATATAGAAAATCAGGTGAATCACAAAAGGCATTTTCTTATGTTGCACTTTTTCTTCTGTTCATGGCTTTCTTTATCACTATTTCCTAACTATCATGTCAGACGAACGTTTGTATCACACAAACGATATAATTAGTGGGAAGACAAGAACACAATATGATTTGGTATGATATTAAGTACGCATCCTGGGTCTCTTAACATATCACCAAGTTGCGAAAATTATGTCAACAATAGGATATTTTCCTGGTTTTACTATTTTGGACAGCTTGTGTATTTTCATGTCCGACCTCATTCCAATCTAAATTATAAGGCGTTATTGAACTAAAAAGCACTACTCAATTCATTACTGAGGCCAGAGTATTAAAGCTTTTTTTTATTCTGCTAATTGACTTGTCTTGCTTGCGAAGAACGAGCCACATAAACATTTATTCTATCTTTTTATTCTTGTTTTAGTCTCTCGGCATCGCAGGCTTAGTCGTCAGCGTAATATGCGTAACAAGGGACGATCCCGTTTCTCACGCTTTGGTATCAACACACCTGATGCTGATCCCAATGCCACCGGTAGGTCTACGTGCATTCTGTCAATATAATTTCTTTACTGTACTATATTGTGAATATCTAAGCATAGCTCTTAAAGCTGCATCTTGAATCACTAATTACATTTGTAGCTAAGCAGGATAGATTTGGGCACTCCTTTTTTTGCATACCCCTTATTTATTCTTAAACTGAACGTGAGTATTGAACCTAAAGAGCCTGTATAATAATCACGAATTCGGGATGTGATCTTACCTGAAACCGAAGGAGGATTGCCGCTTAAGGAAGACTGTTGAATTGTTCGAAGAAGTCCTCGGCTCATCGTCCTACGACCCCGATGAAACTGTGCTAGGCTTTCGTCCGTACTGTGACAGATATCATCAGAGCACGATTACATACTTTACTAAATAGAGCAAAAATATACCAAAACAAAAGAATAAAGTGGCCTGCTGAAACTTTATTCTCTTTTTATACCCCTAACATCTCGATCTCAATGAGGCTTCCCATGATTTAGTTGGCTATTTCAACCTTATTCTACATGCTTGCAAATGAGTCAAATTAACTTCCCGAACCGGAAATGCGTTCGGTGGCAGATTTTTCATCAAACAAAAATTAGCGTACGATCGCCTAATGCTGAATCATGTTTGGGCTTGCGCTATTGTCTTACTCGTTCCTCCTATTTTGGAAGTTGTTACTTTCTATCGACTCCCTAATCTTATGCTTTGACGTGAATTCCTCGCATATATATATATATATATATATTTAATACGAAACCGTTTTCAAAAGGCATTATGCTTGCTATTAAAACTTCACATATAATCGTAAGATTCTGCAGTCTATAAAAATAAACAAAACAGCTAATATCCTGAAATAGGATCCAGTATTGGCAATTTATCAGAATCTATTTGTGGCGCTCGGATAGCTTGATAAGATAATGGAGCAGGGAGAACTGGAAGAATCGTTTAGTAAGAGGAGGCTTGAATAGTCTCGAGTCTTTTTAAGATTCTCATCTCACATGCCTTAAACAAGGCATGCATTATGCCATGCGTCAAAATTGCTGGTTATAACACTGGTTTATTTAGATAAGGAAACAACTGCTAACAGACCCACTTTATTTATATGCCTCGACCTCCCCCACTCGCAAGAATGCAGGATAAACATGTAATAACAAACCAAATCATGGAATATCTCATTTGTATGTCAAAGTTAGGC